GAGGAGACAGATTACTCCAGATTTATTATTCACTGGGACTGCTTTTCAATGAAACTTTTATACACTTTCCATAGTCAACCAAGCAAATAATGCTTGTCAGTCACCTCTTAACCCACTTGGAAGGGCTTAACACTTTACAAAACCAAGATAAATAGTTACCCAAGCAAAAACCTCTACTAGTAGCAAGTATTCTAGAGGAATACTGCTCCCAGCCAGAGCACCACAGCACTGTACACTGGCAAATGTACAATGGAGAAACGGGCTCAGGTTTTCTGTAACAGGAACTTGAGAAGGTAAGTTAAAAGTATTTGTAGGCACTGTGTATGACACTCATGAATTTCAAGCAGCTCTTACCTTTCTGGAGTGGTAACAGATTGCTGGAAATAATCCTCTGCCATATGCAAGAGTTCTGAGTACTTGGCAGACCCTTCCATTTCTCCCTGTCACAAGGATGAGCACACACACACACAAAATTACACGGGCCCACAGAGATTTCTGGTGTTATGTATGGATCATCAGGAACACTGAATTCTAGAGGCACGCAAATGAAAGGTAAAGCAGTGAAATCAGACTTCACACAACCGTATCGTGATTTCCTTCACTCAAGTGTATCTCTCCCCTTTATTCAGATGAATGAATTCATCCACAAATCCTGCTTTTTCCTTATTCATTTCCAAAAGAAATTAATTTCAAAAGGGGAACAAACTGCATGTAACACCTTTAAAGACATTAATTCATTTTCCATAGAAAGAAGCATTAGATTTCCTGCCCTGCTGCAACTACTTACACAAGTTCAAGAGCTAAAACATTTTTATTGGAATGTTTATAAGACACAGACACACAACTTCACCTTGAAATAATCCTTTTCCTTCAGGCTCCTGAGGAATCTCTCCCACAGGGGACCACTGAGCACATTTCTCTTGGAATCAGGAGATACTTTGCTGCTCTTGGAGCACAAAATTTCAAAGCCATGAGCCTGTATAAGAGATGTAAAAACAAGGAGGTTCTCAAGGTGTAGCAAACTTTGCTCACAGTTTTCTGGACGAGCAGGCAACTCAAAAAGCAAAGAGTCATTCCCTGGACGTACATAAACAGGCAAACTAAGCACAAAATGCATAAGAAATCCTCACCAGCTTCATGCCCAGTTCATGGGCTCTGTACTGAGGGTGAGCTGGGGCGGGCAGTGTGTATCCACTGCGTCTGTCTGGAACAAACTTCTGCTGCGCCAGCTGTGCATACAGACACCGTGTGAAGGTAACCTGGAACAGCCAGAGCAGAACAAAACCACTCACTGCGGCGTGACTGGGTCGTGTACAGGCAGCAGCTTTCCACCAGGCTCCTCTAAATCGTGTTTTAAGGCACCAGCATTACGGACAACACCTGAGACCGCATTCAAACACATCCGAGGTACGTTTTTCTAAGATATGTTGCTTTTCAGGTCTTACAAAGTATATTCCAAGTTGACATCCCTACATAGACATGAGCTTCCATCAGTCTAAATACATTAGAAAAGACCCTAAGTATTCAGTATTCACACCAACAAGGTGCATTTCAAAAAACTGCAAGGGCTTTTTTCTGTTAATGAAACCAAAGCTGAGATTTCAGGAACAGTCTAGAAAACTAAAATTTGATTGCAAAGCTTCTTTTCAGGAGTCTAGGGGTATAACAATGTCAGAAAATGTATCAGATACGACACAAAGCTCATGGAACACTTCATAAAGTGCGTGAGCACAGCTGACAAGCTGAGAAGCCTTGGCATGAACAGCTGGGGGTAGTTAGCAGCAACTCCTGTTGGCTGGCAGTGCTGTCAAACTGCTCTGAATACAGAAGGGGATCAGTTTATTCAGCGAGCATTTCAGCAGAGGGATTATTAGCACAACCTCCCGTTTCAGAAACATTTACCTCCTGCTTAGCCCTTTGAAAGCCCGGCTGTGTCAACGTGAAGGCACACAAGCTATTAACGTAACAAACTGGAAGTTATTAAAAGTTCATAAAAAAATAAACAAACCAGAAAACATCCTGCTGTAAAAACTAAACGCGCGTATTTACACCACTGCCCACAGAGCCCCTGCCAGTCACAGAAGCGAGCTGCCACGCTGATTTGGGTCACTGACCACGGTCATCACGCGCTGGTCCGCAGGGAAGGTCTGGAAAGGGCGACGACAGGCCCGTAAATCCGCCGGCTCCCGCAGGTAGAAGGCCTGGACTGCGGCGGCCACCAGGGACGGGCGCTGCCGCAGCACCGCCGCGACGCCCGCCGGCACGTAACACCGGGCTCGGTGCAAGCAGGCCTGGAGCTTCTCGGGATACCTGGTGTCACACAACAGCACAGAGTCAGTGTACTGCCAGCCCAAACCACTCCTTTGTCACTGTCAGTCCCATTCTCACTGCAATACTGACCCGTGTTATTCTGAAGTTAAAACTCGCCTGGAATGGCTGCTTCTGTAACAGATGTAATATCCCACACACATACACACTAATGCCCACATTGGGGAGTCACTGAGAACTGAGCTAACGTATTCAGCTATACAGTGTCCTTCACCACACCCAGTGTGGAACTCATCTGGCTCACACTGTTGCAAAAATTAATGGGCAGTGCTGTGATGCTCTGAAAAATACGCTGGTTCTACATTTTAGTTCAAATCCTCTTTTTCCTCCTGCAAAGGGGTCCCAAAGGCTCACAGAACTCTGAGATTTTTCAGTACAAGAAGGATGGGAAGGAAGAATAACTTGTCATTGCCAGGTGTGGAGTCATAGCAGTGAACCAGTTTCAGAGCCCCCAGATCACAGTCTACAGGACACTGATCCCCCTCTTCCCAAGAATGCCACAGGAAAACCTCTAGCTGGTGGTTTCTGGAAAGGAATCGACTTTATCACTTTATCTATCAGGGAAATCTTTAAACCCCAGACAGCCCAGTAATCAAAACTTACTGTGGCAGAAGATCAAAATAAAACACCCACATACCCGTCAATGCGTTTGTACACGGCAGCTCTGATGGGCTCTGCAGCCAGGAACTCCTCAGAACGGGTGGATAACAGTGCCAGTGCCTCTGAGACTGTTGGACAGGGAGCAGACAGGTCCCATTCCTGCTCCCCAGGCTCTGCCAGCGGAATGATGTGCAGCTCTCCTTTGTAAAAGAACACCTGGCAGAGGGGAACGTTCCCGTCAGAACAGGCACACACTGAGCTATGGGAAACTTAATTTCACATACAAAATGCATTTGTTTGAACATAGGGAATACTGCAGTACAAATAAATAATATGGGAAGCAGTATAATCTAAAAATGCATTTGAGATGCTAGCGACCATGACCCAAACAGTGAATAAAAACCCCTATTTTAACTTCAACAAGTTTGGTCAAATGTATCTTGTTTCCTTAATAACAGTAATACCGAAAGTTTCCCTTCAACCAGAGATTTGCTTCAGGAGAATCAGCATAACCTAATTGCTGAAAAATTCCCTACACACTCACTCTACATAACATTCTGCAAGAGCACAGGGATCCAAATCAAGTGTGAAGAGTTCCCAGTCGTTAAGTCTCTCATTCAACAACCACAGCAAGCACAAAGCAGCTCATTAAAACTAGAATGAAAAGAGACTGTACTAAAAAAACCCCATGCTGTTGATTAAAACAAGTCTTGAGCCCTGAGTAGAAGTTTATTCACTAGTAAGGGACAGACAGCACTTTGGATTTTCAGAAGCAGTCAGACCACTTGGCTAGAGGTGCAAGAGAAGATTCCAGCTGCTACATAAAAGACCACCATGAGCCACTTGCCAAATGTACAGAAGTTTTACTCACCCTGTTTTCGCTATTCTCAGGATTCAGCCACTTTGGGAGAAAATCAGCTGCTTCTATCAGGAGAAACTCTCCATCGTTGTCATCGATCCTGGCCAAGGAGAAATCGGTTTCTTAAAAGGGAAAGCCTTGCAGAGCACAGTAATGTGCTCCTAAATCCATGTCTGCTGGGTTTCTTTTTAATACTCATAGAATCATAGAATGGCTTAGGTTGGAAGGGACCTTAAAGATCATCTGGTTCCAACACCCAGCCATGGGCAGGGACACCTTCCACCAGACCAGTATAATAAGAGTCCCCAAGCAGCCTGGCCTTGAACGCTTCCAGGGATGGGCAATGTTAAGACAGGACCTTCAAAGCAAAGGCACTACCCCTTCACTCTCCCCCTGAAATTCTGGGCACCTCGGCAGGACCTGCCCTACCTGGCTGCCAGCCCTGGGAAGTCCCTGGTGATCTCCCGGACCAGGTAGACGATGAACCACTCGTCCTCCACGTTGTCCCCGAACAGGGTGGTGCCTCCGATGTGCTCCGGGATCCCGCCTGCACGGGGGGCAGAGACAGGAGAGGCGGCTCAGCAATCCCATACCCAGGAACTGCCCAGAGACGGTGTGTGTCCCTCACTGGGGCTATTCCAGAGCCGTCTGGACCCACTCCTGTGCTCTGTACTCTGGGACGGCCCCGCCAGAGCAGCGAGGTTGGACCAGATGCCCCACTGCCGTCCCTTCCAGCCTGACCCGTTCTGGGGATTCTGTGAACCCGCTGGGTCCCTCTTACAAACTCCTGGATACACCTGACAGGCCTGGCCGGGGCACCCTTCATACACCGGCTCCCCCCTCACACACCGGCTCCCCCCTCACACACCGGCTCCCCCCTCACACACCGGCTCCCCCCTCACACACCGGCTCCCCCCTCACACACCGGCTCCCCGTCGCACGCTCCCCCCGGTCCCGCTCCCGGGCTCACCCCTGGCCGGCTCGTAGCGCAGGCGGAACGGCTGCCGGTGCCACACGTAGGCGGCCAGGAGCGGGGCGAGCCGCACCAGGGCCGCCTCAGCGCAGCGCCGCAGCAGCGCCTGCCCGCCGGGGCCCGGCGCGAACAGGCGGTACCGCACCGCGTCCTCGGGCAGCGCGGGCCGGCCCAGCGGCCCCACCACGGCAGCCCGCCCGAGCGGCTCCATCGCGGCAGCCCGCCCGAGCGGCTCCATCGCGGCAGCCCGCCCGAGCGGCTCCATCGCGGCAGCCCGCCCGAGCGGCTCCATCGCGGCGCGGCCGCGCTCCGCCCCCGCGGGAGGAGCGGCGCGATGGCGGCGGGGCGGCGGCGCTGAGGATGATATCGCGATACGCGCGCAAACCGGTGCAGCCGTGAGTGGCCCCGCTCCCCCGGGCCCCATCGCCATCCCGGCCCCGCTCCCCGTCCCCGTCCCTGTCCCTGTCCCCATCCCCGTCCCTGTCCCCATCCCCGTCCCTGTCCCCATCCCCATCCCCGGCCCCGGCCCCATCCCGGCCCCGCCGCAGACAGGGCCCCGCCAGGGCCCGGCCGCCGCGCGTGTCCCCCCGCGGCACCCCCGGGACACAGCGCGGTTAAATCCCTGCTCTGCCCTTCCTGGTGTCCCTGGCCCAAGAGCAGCGTCGGTTCTGACTGACTTGGTTGCTTTTGTGCCGTTTGATTTAATTTAATTCGCCTCCGGGGACAGCGACATTGCCTCTGCGCTCGGGGAGCTGCAGCGCAATTCACAACGTTTTTAGTTTAAAGGAGGACGTTTCAAAGTGAGGACCCTGCTTATAATATATAACTATTCTTAAATATAGTACTATAACGACAGTTCTGATACCTTAAATGTAAACCTTCGGTAACAATAATTTTGGGTCAGTTCTGACCCAATTGATATGCTGGCCTTTTTTTTTTTATGTATTTGTATTAAACAAACGTGTATTTAATTGTATTTAATTTGTATTGAACAAATATATCCATTTTGGAAGTTAGTGACTTATCTACAGCCTTTTTATGTTTAATTCTGCCATTTCTGGCCAGCAGAGAAATGACAGGAGAGAGAAGTTCTCTGTTTAAGCATCATTCAGCTGCTGTTTGAGACAGGGCTTCTGCCCTGCATTGGTACTTGTTGTCTCCAATTAATGCTACTTTTCTTGTCTCTCTCTCCTTGACATCTAAAGTTTGACAAAACGAAAAACTACCAAAAATTATTCCTCCCAACTTGCCAGTGCATGTTCCATAGAATCACAGAATCATTAAGGCTGGAGAAGCCCTCTGAGATCAAGTCCAACCATTAACCCAGCACCACCGTGTTCCTCACTAAACCGTGCTCTCAAGTGCCACACCCACATCCTTTTAAACGTTTCTAGGGACAGTGACTCCACCAAGGCCTGCTCCAATGCCTGACCACCCTCTCCACAAAGGAACTTTTCCTAATATCCAACCTGAACCTCCCCTGGTGCGACTTGAGGCCGTTTTCTCTGGTCCTTACCTAAAGCCTTAGTAACAAGAATTAGCCTTCTAATAGCAACAGGTGCATGCGCACTCCTTGAAAAGCAGAAAAGAAAAACCTGTAAAACTTCTTGGGAACTCTGCAAACATTTGTTCTTGTGAGTAACTTGTCAAGTTCTGCTGGGTTTTTTTTCAGACAAGGACTCCCAAAACATGCCCTGAGGCATCACCCCCTGCCAGAGCCAGGAGTTCAGGTGTGCTCAGCCACAGCCAGGGCTGAAAACCACGGCCACGTCTCCAGGTACTGTGGGCACGTCTCTCCCAGAGCTGTTCTGGTACAGCCAGGCTTTGTTTGCTGACACACTGCATTTCTCGTTGCTTGTTTTTTGCCCACTGTTTATTTTTTGTGGGTTTCAGGGAGTCAGGAATCCGGAGGGAATCAGCTGATCATGGGAATCCAGGGACTGCCAGTGAGAGCTGTGCCGACACCTCCACTGAGGACAGCTCAGTCTTCTCTTGGGGCTACGATGTGAGTAGAACGTATCAGCCAAGCCAAACCTGCCACAGTGAGGAGAAAACTGTTCAAAATACCATGGCAAAGACATTTCAGGATAAAAATGAGGATTGGATCTGTTAATAAATCATGATAGTGATTATAAAAAGAGCATATTTTTTTCTTTCTCCCAGTTGAGAACACATTAGGCTATATTATTCAATTAGTATGGTGTACTTCCATCTAAAATTTTGGAAAAGCAAATCATTTATTGCATAAGTGTATCTACAAATGCTGTTAGTGTGGAATCCCAAACATGACTGGGTGATTTTCAGGTACTTGGTGTGAGTTTATCAAACTTCTGCATACTTGCTTCTCACAATACTGGAAGCTCCTAAACGTAATTTTAATTTAGAAAGGGTTGTTTTGTTCTCCACCTACCAAAGCCCAATGTGCTGTTGCTTTCTTGTGAGATGGGGCTGTTTAGATTTAAATGACCCCAGAACTGACCTCATTTTCTGGCTACATGAGCACATGTAACAAAGGTCCTGACCATCCCTCACTTTCACTGTTTCCCACCAGTCTGCCTTGCCTTTTGTTTTGTTGTTGTCTGTCTGTTGCAAGCCACAGATTTTCCATTGCATTAAAATATCACTGGATTTTATCCTTCCTGTTCTGATTTATGTAAATTCCTATATCTTGTAACTTAATGTAATAACACAGATATTTCAAAATGTTTTAGTAGTTTATCTGCCGTGTCAATGTAAGCTTTTTATGTGGCCACCTTCAGTCTTAGCAGCAGGGGGGAAATTATCATCTCTGGAAGGAAATGATTTAAAGTTAAAATCCTTCTATGCAGTCCTGTTAAGCTTTAAACAAATAGTTGTCTTTTTCAATTATATTAAAGAAAAATCAATTAACACCCCACCCTGCAATGCAAATACTGTTCACTAGGTGTTTACTGGATAACTTCCCTTTCTAGGAATTTGATAAAGCTGCCACACAACAAGTTCAGGAGATGTTCAGACAAATTGATGAGCTTCTCTATGAGCAGAAGGAAAATGTGCATGTGGAGGGACTGTGGGAGGAATGCCAGCAGTGGACATCCAGCTTTCCTCATCTCAGGTATTTTATGGACACACTGATGCCAATCCCCTCACAAAAAGGGTGGGGATGGACACAGTTGCTTTTAAAACATTCGTAGCAGGGGGGGTTTATGCACTTATGGAGTAGAGAGAAATAAAAAGATCACTCTGGTTATTAAAATAAACAGTCTGTTACCTCACATTTGGTTCCCTGACAGAGGTTTATGGCTATTTGCAGCTGATTTGGCCTTAACATAGCAGAGTTCTCTTAGAAAATCGGGGTTTGCTCTGTTAAGCACAGTAAATTTTCTTGTGGTGGAGCTATAAGCTTAAAATCATGTAAAACCCCTCCTCCCCTAGTTCAGCAGTCCTTATGGCTGTCTGAAAACTTACATTTTAAATCTTCATTACGTGCACTTGGAACAGTTTTGTCCATATTCGTAAGTTTTACAGTTAGCAGAGCATTAAAAAAGAAACAGGCCAAATTTTTTTTGATGTATTTACCTGGCTCAAAGCAACCTGTACCAGGGAAAACAACTGAACCAACCCCCAGGAAAACCTGCCCAGCTCCCCAGAAGAACTCTTAGGGTGTGCTGCTGCTCTGACACACTTGAGTAATCTCCCTTCCAGCACCTCCTGATGTGTGTCCCCTGTGCTTGTGCCCCGGCAGGGTTGTGGGGAGGCAGGTGGTGGTGCCCACGGATGAAGGGTATGGATGGTTCTCCAGTTCCCCTGCGGGCAGCTGGGCTCCCTCAGGTGTAAGTTCACCTCCAGAGCAGGATGCTGAGGAGTAAGTACCTGTGGCGAGCCCGGGCTGGACCGAGCTGGGAAGGTCACTTAGTTCTCTGCAGGGAACAAGGCAGTGGGAAGCAGCTTTGTCCTCTGCTGCTTAAAAATGTGCAGCCCTGACTCTTTCCTGTCAGGCTGAGTTTTGAACACAGCACACTTTATTTTCCTTTTTAACTGAAAACAGTACATTCAGAGCAGCAAGACTACGTAGCCGTGCTCGTTGCTGACTACCTTGAGCTGGTCAGTAAATAGAAATATCTTTGCTGCTGCTGACTTCTTAAGGATGTGTATGTTTTGTAGCTGGTTTTATTGCTAATCATCTGTTAAATTTGTACAGAACATAAAAAACACAAAGCACTGCGTTAGTACTATTATGATTTAATGTTTCAAAATGCTTTCTGGTTTTTTTTCCCTGAAGTTTCAAGTTCCTTAGCAAGAATTAAAAAATATCCAAAGCAACAGTTTTTACTGTAATGAATAATTTGTTGGTCTCCCTTGGCCTTAAGTACCATGCTGTCTCTCAGTTATTTGAAGTGGAATAATAACCTATTTTTATTTCTGCTTTCTGACAACTGTCACCTGTTCAGATTTAGTGTTTTTGGCAAGAAGGTCCCTCTTTTTGTTACTCCTGTTCACAAAAAGGCCGACCCTTCCCAGTCTCCGACCTTGTGTTCCTCAGAGAGTGACGAAGGGGAAGAGGAAATAATTCTCTCCGAAGGCATAGTGGAGGAATATTTGGCATTTGACTGCAGAGATGTGTAGGTATTGAATATTAAGACAGTATTAACTAGTGACCTGGGGTTCCTGCTGTATTTGATGAGTTTATTTTTTTTAATACTTTTTCCCTAGAGAACTTTCAAAGGCCTGAAGTTGCCAGGGAACTGAGAATTCTCCCTGCTCTTTTCCTAGGACAGTTTATTATTTTTTCTGAAATTTTTTGTCATCTTTCATACCATCCATTTTTGTGCCTGGTTTGAATAGTTCATTCCACTGTAACTAAGAGCTTGCATATTTCATAGAACTTGTTTAAACACCATTTATTTTTTTATATTGAGTCAAATTCATTGTTGTTTGTTATGCTGCTTTGGTTTTGTACTGTTATTTTGGGTGGAATTGTACCTTTTCCAGATTTTTCAGTGGTAATTTAAGAACTAAGAGTGGATTTGATGCTCTCCAAGAAACAATTACCACTCTTTTTTATCTTTTTGTCCCTTTACTTTATCCCACCCAACAATATGAACATATGGCCTGGGTAAGGACTCTGTGTCAGTTCCTAACTACTTAATTGGTTTTAATAATTAAAGCCACTTAGCTGCATGGACCATTAAATTTAAATTGTTACTTGTCTTGCTTTGACCAGGCCAGAGAGACATTGCTGCAGGAAATAATATCATCTCTTGTCTTCAGCATTCTGTAGTGGCATTAGATATGGAGCTTAACAATGTGATGAAGAAACATCACTGCAACTATTAATACTCATTTTTAAATAGGACTTTGATCTTATCAGTAAATAATTCATTATCTGTGAAGTATCATTTAAGAGTCATTCTGTACAGGGAAACCAGGGTGTGCAGCAATAGGTGGTTGTCTCAGGCATTTCTTATTCAGGTTGGTGGAAGATCTAAAAATAAATGCAGGAGGCAAAGGCCATGTGTCTGTGGTACAGGCAGTGCTTACATTTTCACAGGGAGGAGGAGCTGCACGAGAGGAAAAGGGGCCTGTCCTCTGGCAGACGGAAACTGGGCCTTCCTCCCGTCTCCCCATATTCCTGCACCAAGGATTCCGTGCTCACCTTCGTGTTTGATGATGTGTGGAGTGAAGTCCTGGGCTGCATGGAGGAGCTGATCTGCAGGCACTGGGAAGGGTCAGCCTCTGGTGAGGATCACAGCTCGAGTGAAGGCTGAAAAGGGGGTTTCAGGGAGTGGATTTTGCAAGGAGGCGGTGGGGGAGAGATGTACTGGGGGATGATCTCTGCAGTGGGAATAAGAAGGTAACGTTGTTGACAGTGTGAGATATGCCTTCAAAAGATTTAGCAGAACTTACCATCCAAGAGGACTCTCTCTCTCTCTCTAAACGTTTGGATTCATAGCACTGTCCACGACTAGCAGTGCCAACAGCCTGAATTGACAGGAGCTCTCTCTTGCTTTGCACAGATGATGAGAAAAATATCATAACAGTGGAAACACTCAGGGCAGGTGTCAGAAGCCCTTTGCAGCTCGATCCTCTGCCAGCCTTGTTACCTCGTGTGCCACACACGAAAATGCCCTCGGTGACCTCAAATCTGGTAAGTATTTTTAGCCCCTGCTTTGTGTAGGGATGAATCAATAGTGTTACTTCAGCAAACACACTGCAGGATGTCAGTCCCTGGGTTATGTTTAGGTACAGAACGAGTTTGGCCTTTGTGGGAATGCTGACTGTCCTTTCTAACACTTAAGTCCTTTTACTACTCAGTTGCAAGTTTTAATTCCTACTTCTCTCTTTAAAACTTAGTGGTCTATATATGTATAGGACAACCATGTTGAATAATGATGTAGTGTTTTCTATACTTTAATAATATTTGACCTCAATGAGATTGAGGACTGTGTGTGTGGGATCCTGTTCTCACCAACATCATTCATCAGGCAATAGGGGACAAATCCCAGTGCAGCTCTAAACCAGCTTTTTTTCTCAGACACTGATTTTAACTGCATAATCTGCTTTGGATGATCTGCTCCTGGAGTGGTGAGCACCAAAGGGTTACCTGTTTATTCCGTTTTAATTCAACTCTGTCCTTATTTCTCTCTCCTTTATTTCTACCCCTGCCTGTTCCTCGTGTTCCCTTACTGTGTGTGTAGTGCCCAAAACCCAGATGTGGCCGCAAAAGCAAAAAGAGAAGAAAAACACCTCATGTATGTATCCTGGAGGGATTAAAGCTCTGCTGTTTTCTGTTTTCTGTTGTTTTGGTGGGTGGAATTTGATGTTTTTCCAGATCAGTCTGTATTTGCAGATACAAAATGTGAACATGCACTCAAAATTAGCTTTGTAAAACTTCAGATTATAGTAATTGTTGGAAGATCCTGTCATGCAAGTGAGCTGCTCAGTTGGAAAATATGAAGTGTTAGGATACATTGTCTAACCACTACCATTTGCAGAAAAAAAAAAAAGGACTGCTAAGATGCTTGTCTTAGATGGAGAAATAATATAAAACTGAGCATATATCTGGATGTCATGGAAGAAATGAGTGGATTTTCTCCAAAATTATATACAAAATCTGTAAGTGTATCTCTGCCAAGCAGCAATTTACTTACTTTTTTTTTTTTTAAATTTCAGGTCAGTCTCTCTCAAGGGTCAAGTAGTGGCTCTCAGCATAATCTGAATGGCTTGATGGTGATCCAGGGGATCCAGTTACACCAAAGGAACCTGCCTGTAGTGGAGAAAACACTGTAAGAGTTACAGATCATCTGTTGTAAATAAAGTAGAGTGTTCTCACAGTGAGAGGGATTCATGAGGGATTCAGATAAATTACGAGAAAGCTCTTCTCAATTATTTCCCTGCTTGTGTGTTTATTTGTCCTCTGTGAAAAATGAAGTGTTAGGATACAGTGAAACAGTATTATAGATTATACAGTTCTGTTAAAAATGAAAACACATCGTGTCTGCCCGTGTATTTTATGATTAATGCCACACGTGGGTGAGTACTTTGGGAACGGGGCCTCGCTGACCATCTCCCTGTTGGTCTGTTTTGTCAGGGACCTGGATGACAGACGGCCGGGTTCCAGCTCCATCCTCTCCATCAGAACGTGGCCAAATCGTGCTCTGGAGCTCAGCACATCCTCCCTGTCCCGCTCGACGAGGAGGAGGAACCCCCCGCCCCGGACCCTGCACCCCATCTCGGGCAGCCAGCCCCGCCCCGGGACCCCGCGCTCCGGGGACGCGGCACGGCTGTACGTCCCACCCGCCCCTCCTGCAGGCTCACCAGTGCAGGGAGCCCAGCTGGCACCAAAAACAGGCAGATGGGCAGCAAGAACGTTGGGTTAAAGAAAGGAGCTGCCCCTTAAAGCACAGCTGCCCCCAGAAAGCTGAGGGGCTGAGGCTGGTGGTCACCGCGCTGCGATTCACTGAATCACAGACACACAGAGGTGGTTTGGCACCTCAGTCTGCCCAGTACCAGCAAAGTCAACACCACCATCTCTTCCTTCACATGGTTTTCTTTTTCTGGAGCCTGTTTGCAAGATGAATTTAAAAGTCTGCAGTTTTTGGAGGAGAAACTGCACGTTGCTATCCTAGCCCAGGCTGGGCTGTAAAGATGTTAAAACAGGTTATCTGACTGACCAAAGTGCTCTTAATGAACCCCTCAGTCACAGCTAAAACATCTTATTTTGCACATTTACAGGGACCACAGGGTATCAAGAAACAATGCAGGCTTTGATATACCTCTGTGTTCCATGTGTTGTAAATCGATGTAGTTTCCTTTCAGTTTTGTAGTTTATGTATAAACTCACTGAGCCTGTTATTTTCTTGTCACGTAGTGTTTAGAGACTAATTCCTTGTCCTTCCACAACTGATGTTTCTACTTCCAGTATTTTATGCTTCTGTTCCCTTTCCTCAGGCTTCAATCAGTCTAACAAATATTAACATCTCACCTTTATTACCATATATTTTTAAATGCAGAGAGCACTAGGAAAGTGTTTTTAAAATGTCTTCAAGCTTTTCTAAGGTGTTCTTACAGAACAGTCAGCTCCAGAAGGCCAAACAAAGTGACAGTATTATCTCTTTCCACGTGCCAAACATATAAACTGTATTTTTTTTCTCTTTTCACTGGTGCCTTTCAGTCTGACTGCACAGGAGCAGCTGACCTCCCCCTCCCCAGTGCTGCTGAACCGAAATCACCCCCTGCCCCCTATTGCCACCTCCAGCGTGGCAGAGCGTGGGAGCACCACAGGATCCCAGAGGCAAATGGTAAAGGAAACAATTCCATTTTATTACTGAATAGTCTAAAGTTGTAATCACTGCTGATCAAACTGCCAAGCCCAAAAGTCCCAATTTATTTGTTACCCTGCGACAGCAAGTCAAGTGGATGCACAAAACCCGTCCCAGCAGTTTTGACTAACAACATCACCCACAGTTGCCTGCTTAATTCTCATTCATGCCAGAATGTTTTCCTCCTCGTAACTAGGTTGCAAAACGATTCATGTGGAAAATTAGCTTTAATTCCTAGGCTGAGGATTGCCAATGTGCTGCTGCAGTGAGAAGAAGCCATAACTGTGTTACCCTTCCCTGCAGAAACCTCGAGGGAGCTCGAGTCGTGCTCACAGTGTAACGACACAAGAAGATGCTCACCAGCAGCTCCAGGAGCAGCTCCTCCTGCCTGATCCTTTCTCCAGGCCTAACACAACCAACACATCCTTGGTAAAGCATGGCAAATTACACCACATCATCCTTAATTACTGCAGAGAGTGCTTGGTGAATTAACACTAATCAATGCCCAATCTGTTTCAGTATCAAACAATAAGCACCTACTCTACTGATATCTTGTCCTATCCAACAAATTGTTTTTTATCTAAACTTTAAAAGCTACAATTTCAGCGATAGCTTTTAAATAGCTGCTTGATTAAACATCCTTGACTCAGCAGTTGTGAGAGTACACAATTTCTAAAGTCTGTTTTGAAACAGAACAATTTTCCCAGAATGTCTTTAACTGGTCCAGTGATTATTCCAAATAAGCATTAGAAAAATATATTTTCTACTCCTAAAGTTGATTTAATCCTCCTCAAAGCTTTACTTAGGCCTTTACAGCATCTTGCCAACTAGGCAAATAGTTTGTAGCTGCGTTGCAATCTTGCTGTTTACATTTTTTCCCCTGCCTTCTCAGCCAGATTCCCAGCGCCGCCGTTCCTGCACCGTTATGGATCACAGTAATCAATCCTGGACAAGCAGAGCATCAACAGGTTCAGGTATGTTCCTCAGGCACAGGATTCAGTAAGATCAAGCAAGGGGTAGGCTTTTGGGACAGGGATGCACTTCCTGCAGGGATACATTCCTCCAGGCAACTGCATCGAGGAGGTTTTTCAAAGTTCTATCCGTGTCTTTAATTTCCCATTACCCAGGTTTTATCCTGGCTGTATCCCACTCTATTCCAGAGTATGGCTGGGTGCAGTTTGGGTTTGGTTTTTTATTACCACCAAGTATTTAAAATCACTTGAGGAAGCTTAATGTAATCTGCCCCAGTGCCTCTCAGTGTCAAAGTGAAAAGCAGGAGTTGCCAACTTCAACAGAAATAGCAGCATCTACTTTATGCCCAAGGGGTTTTTCCTTCTGCTCAACTATGCAACTGAAAAAAATTGCATTATGTCCAAAAGAAACTAATTTGCACTGTATCTGGAAGGGGTTTTACTAGATCTGTACTAGATATGTATTAGATCAAGTCAAAATATATTGGAAAGACAGGAACTGTACCAGTACAATTCACATGCATCCTCTGAAATCAGAGTTGCTTGTACTGTGTCACTCCTTATGGGGCTGTCAGGATCTCCCTCAGAAAAATGTGCTGACAGGTAGGATTGAGGCTGCAACGGTGAATGGAAGCTGCAAAGGTTAAGGCAGCAAGTAAACGAGTGATTATTAGAGCATGTGAGGGGTCTTTCAGCTTGTTTAATAGCTGAATGGCCTCCTACCACTAATATAAGTGGTACAAGAGGCAATTTGAGTTTAAAAAAGGCACTAAATAGAAGTAATTTGTTTTTAAACCAGCAAGGAGGGACTCCTGCTGAAATTAAAATAAATATCTCCTCCCCCCATCAAAAAAAGCAAGATGAGCTTTATGACTGCTGTATTAACAAAATCAAATTAGCAGAACTTTATAGTCTTGAATACTGGGTGAAATATCAAGGAATACAGTAGTTCCCTACAATGCAGCAACTTGGCAAGCACAAACTTTGCCCCTTTTGGAAGTTATAAATAATGCATTAGAATAAAGAGACTAAAAAAAAGGCATTTTAATTTGAAGCTAAAGGAGATGCATTTGGTACTTAGTTTGAATACCTTTCAGAAGTGTTGAAGTTGTCCATGATCTCTGTTTATTAGGTCTCCTCCCACGTGGTTCTGTGAAAGGCCACAGTCGAAGTGGATCGGGCACAAAAAGCAGACAGGGGTTCTGAGGTGCCATGGAGAAGTGTCCAACCCATCCATCCATCCGTCCATCAACCCATCTCTGGAGAGTCATGAACCACCTCTCGTTCCCAGCAAGGTCAACGTTGTTTACAGAGAGTTTTCAAACACCCTTCCTCACAAATAGTTATTTTTATATAAACCTAAGCAGCAGCTGCCAAAGATTAGAAGGGGTACACTTAAACATTCCATTTTCTACCAGTAGAGAAAGTGATACTGCAGTGGAAGGGTGAAGATACTCCAGGAAAGCCTAACTCCTAGGAAATCCAGCAAACACTCAGTCACTGCTGTGTTCCTGTGAGGTTCTGATGGGTTCATGTCCTTACAAGGCAGGTACTGCAGAACCTGCTCATTTTTCCATTAGCTCCACAGAAGGTTGCCCAGGCCTTCCACAGAAGTAGTAATGTAAATTTTTTTAAGCTGTATTTATATATTCAAATATGTTTAAAGCAATATTGTACTAGGAAGAGCAAGCACTGCACTCGATTCTGCTTCTACAACTCAGCTTAGGCAAGTGCTGGATCCTGCAGTAGTTGCAGCAGGTATCTGGACACACGTGTGTAGCACTAAGGTAGCCAAGCAGGTGAACTGACAGCTCCACAGGTAGCAACCACTGCCTCTTCCCGAGTTATTTAACCTTACACCTCTTCCTCAGTGACTGAGGAAGGGTTAGCAGCCAACAAGAAGCCTCTAACTACAAGTAGTTTCACACACTACTGCAAGAAAATACACTTGTCTTCCTGGTGAGATATTTTATGGTGATTTCAGAGAATGGCTCAGTCTCTCCCTTTCTAAAATACCTGTAATTACAGATTTCTGCTCTCCCCAAGCCACAGATGCAATGGAGCTTTTAGCAGCTGTGTCTGCACCGTGTGACAGACGTGGAGGAGGCGTTTGCTGCAGCTGCCCTTGTGGCTCCAGATAAGACAAAAAACCCCATGAAGTACAGGCTTCTCAAAATAAGCAGTTAGTTGAAAGTCTTACTCCCAAACAGACTAAAGTGTAAAAACAAGGTGAGGATAATCACTGGCTGTACTCAAACAAACTCAGGACACTGCACAAAAACAGTTGTGTTCCTTTCTAGTCCTATTAAAGAGCACTTCTTTTCCTAATTTCCTTATTATTCTTCAAATTACTGTTCATAATGGACAAAAGCTTGTCAGTGTTCTTTAGGAAGTATCTCCCCTATCTCCCCACTCCAATTTATGTTACCTACAGAGCAGCTAATAATTTTTAATCAATATTGAAGATCTTGAGTCCAGTTGATCCAAGCATGCTTTCATCAAAAACAGGGAACTGTGCAAATGTAACTGGGTTAACTTGCCTTTGCATTTCCAGAAGGTAAAAAAAAAAGAGCAGCTCTGATCTCAATCTAAACCTCTCAAATTTGCAGAGAGAGAACCTGATGCTAACCAGAGGCCTGTACTCACCAAACCATTTCAAAATACAATTTCTCTTAACACTTGGGACTGCTGGAATATTGTACAGTGTGTCAGTTCTGTCAGGCAAACTGCAGATAAGCATCCCATTTGTATCCATGCCATTCCTCAGGGACAAAGTGAGTTTTCTGTAGCACAAGAGTTACAAAACCAGACAAATAAACTTGAATAGACTGCTGGTAATGTAATGTAGTGTTTTATAGCCTAGAGGAGTGTTTAAATGTGTGTTTAAATGAAAAAGTGAAGCAGTCTCCTCCTAAGGCCCATCTCGTGTTTTCTGTACAGATGGTTGACACCAGAGACTGATCCTGGGCTGTTATTTATTTATTCTGTGTAACAAAAGTAACCTTTAAGCCCTGTGTTATCCAACACAATGATATGCTGTACTCTCTCAGAATCAGGGTCATTTTTAGGAGCAGGCAAGTAAAGGGGAACAGAGTGACCCTCTACCTCTGGCTTCCCCCCAGGAAGCTCCCTGAATGCTGATGTTGAAGCAATGAGGGCCTTCAAAGTGCTCACCTCGTGACTCCTGAGCCTTTGAGAAATGATCCTGCAAATGGAAGTGTGCAGGATTTACTTGACTGAAATCAGGAGAATCAACACAATCAGTTTGTTTGGAACAGCTACTTAGAAAACAAGCAGAGAGAACTGGGGAAGCAACAGCACAGAACTCTGCAAAAAAACCTTCTCGTTTATTAAATCTGCAATTTTCCAAACTATATAAAACTACTGGAATATCTGAAAACCACCTGTTGAGCTGATGTGCAAAGACCTTTAAAAACAGAGGGAGGCTCGTTAGGGAAGAACTGTGTGAACAGCACACGTGGATCTCAACTGAAGAGCACCCAAAGGGTTTGAAGCAGTAGCACAGGAATGCTTTGTCTGCCTTGTCGTGCCTCCCAGTCACAGCCAGTCAGTGCACACAGCCCAGAACAGGAGCCCAGAAACAATCCCAAGTTCTCCCAAACCCACGTTTCCATACAAAATGAGACCTGGTACTTCAGCCTACATCGTTCCTTATGTCTTCCTCTTCTTGGCTGCAGTTTTCTTTCCTCCTTTCTTGGCATTATTCCCATATTTTGCTTCCAGGTGGGCGAAGAAGTCATCCATTTCCCTTTCTCGATCCCTGCTTCGGCGCTGGGGAGGGGGAAAAGAAAACCAACCAAGTTCAAAGCTTCTGTAACTTCCCAATACAGGTTATTCTATTGAAGCCTGATAGCTACATAAAATCTTGGAATATATTGAACAGGGAATACAATCTATAGAAAGTTTAGTGCCATCACTGATGCTCCCTGTCTAACTGCCTGCAACTAGAAATTAAATATTTTGAGGGCACGTGGAATAACTTTGTTAATTTTTAAAGAGACACAGGCAATAAAATCCATACCATAGTCTGTTAATTAAAGTACATGGTTAGCATTAAGGTTTTAACCTCAGGAACTCAGAAGAGTTGCAAGGATCCAAAATCAAAGATGCTCAGGGAAAACACAATTGTAAGCCAGTAACATAATTATCTGCAACAAACAGAGAGAGCCTTACTTGAATCAGCGCTTGCAAGTCATTTTCTCCACCAATGCCCAGTTCATCTTTAGTCTTTTTTGCCTCTTTAGCTTCTTTTTCTGCCTGAAAAAGCAAACAAGTTTTTTTTAAAAAAAGTATTTTGCATGTTATCTGACAAAGTCTTACAGGAGTTACCAAATGCTTTTTTTTTTTTCTTTTTGGCATCTGTGTACAAAGAACTGCAAGGAAACACAAAGGGTTTCCAGGTTTGGCCACAGATGAGGAATCAGGCAAAGGTTCCATCATTTAGCAGAGAGGGAAGTTTTTTTGCTCTTTCACAATGTTGAATGTGATGTTTGTCCCTGTTCCCCTATCTATATCTTTTTTGCCTTAGCAGATCCTACATTAAGTTAAAGGTTACTATGATGTGCATGTAACACTCTACAAAGTGTTTGGACAAGAGTCCATCTAGTCCAGAACAGTTTCACACCTGCCAAAAGTCAAGCAAAATGTATTTTCACCACTTGTTGTTTGTTTTTTTTTGTTAACTTCAGCAACTCACAGCTTTGTAGATAAATGCAGGGACATGTGTAATAAGCCATTGTGTATAATAATGAAATAAAAGAAGGGAAAAAAACCCATTTCCCAGCGATTTGAGGTGGGCTGTGATGAACACAGGTGAGCAAATGTGAACGCTGAGCAAGGTGTGGAACTCGGCAATCCCGGGACAAACCTCTCGGGAACAGCGTCGCTTATTTCTGCCGAGGGAGATAAAAACGTTGTGGTAAACAACTGACACAACCTACCCGCCTTCTTCTGGACATCTTTTTCTGCTTTGACTCCCTCACGAAGGCCTGGTAGGACGGGAGCTCCCCAGAGGCGATGGCTCGCTCGATCATTGCCTGGATCCTCGGCTCGTCCGTGTAGTCCACGCACATCACGGACTCCATGATCCGATTCATGTCACCCTTGAAGTTCAGGTACGCTGCCTTCACATCCTCCAGCTCTTCCTCTGAGTTTTTGTAGCTGTTCTCGAAGTCCTCGATCTCTTTTACGGAGACCTGGAGCAAAGAGATTACATGAGTAACTCCACGAGGTACAGGACTTGCTCACCAGAAAGATTTAAGACAGAATACATAAAAAAGAAACACTGGAGGGTTTTTCCGGCTCCCAGTGCTGCTCTCACCTTGAAGAGCAGCTGCCAGTACTCCAGCCAGTCCTTGTCTCCCTGCAGCACCTCAGCATCCTCATCCACCGTGCCGGTCTCGTCGTACAGGGCACGTTGTTTGGCGTCGCTCAGCACCGCGTACACCTTGCTCAGGATCTGCGGGACACGGGGGGGGCCGGTCATTGAGGGGGCAGTCACCTGGGGGGCATCGGGCACTCGGGGGAGCGCCCGGTCAGTCACTGGGGAGCGGGTGATCCGTCACTCAGGGGCAGGCAGTGGGTCGGTCACTGGGGAGCGGGTGATCCGTCACTCAGGGGCAGGCAGTGGGTCAGTCACTGGGGAGCGGGTGATCCGTCACTCAGGGGCAGGTGGTGGATCGGTCACTGGGGAGGGGGTGATCCGTCACTCAGGGGCAGGCAGTGGGTCGGTCACTGGGGAGGGGGTGATCCGTCACTCGGGGGCAGGCAGTGGGTCAGTCACTGGGGAGCGGGTGATCCGTCACTCAGGGGCAGGCAGTGGGTCGGTCACTGGGGAGCGGGTGATCCGTCACTCAGGGGCAGGCAGTGGGTCAGTCACTGGGGAGGGGGTGATCCGTGACTCGGGGGCAGGCAGTGGGTCAGTCACTGGGGAGCATCGGGCACTCAGGGGCAGGCAGTGGGGGACTGGGGGGGGTGATCCGTCACTCGGGGGCAGGCAGTGGGTCGGTCACTTGGGGGGCAGCAGGTGGGGGAGCGGTGGGTCAGTCACTTGGGGGGCAGTGGGGCAATCTCTTGGGGGGTGGTAGGGTGGTCACTCAGGGGATGATGGGTCGGTCAGTCACTCCGGGGAAGGTCAGTGGGTCAGTCACTCGGGAGGGTGGTGGTCAGTTGGTCAGGGTCGGTCACTCGGGGACAGTCTGTCAGTCACTTGGGGGTCCGTGGGGTGGTCACTCGGTTCGGGTGGCAGGTCAGTCATGGGGGGGCAGTGGGTCGGTCCCTTGAGGGAGGGGTGGGTCAGTCACTCGGGGTCGGTCACCTATGGGGTGGTGTGGTGGTGGGTCAGCCACAGGAGCGGGCAGTGGGTCCTTCCCTTGCGGGAGTGGTGGGTCGGTCACTCGGGGGGGGGGGTCGGTGGGTCGGTCACTCGGGGGTCGGTGGATCGGTCACCCGGGGTGTCCCGCCCGCTTTCCCGCCTTCCCGCCGCCGCCTCCCGCGCTCACCTGGAAGCGGCGCGTGGCCTCCTCCTTCTGCTCGGCCGGGACGCGGTCGGGGTGCAGGCGCAGCGAGGCGCGGCGGTACCCGCGGCGGATCTCCTGCGGGGACGCCTCCCGCCGCACGTCCAGCGCGCCGTACAGGTCCGCCGTGCCGAACACGGCCTCGCACTGCTGCGGCAGCGCCATCCCGCCGCGCCGGGACCGCCCCCACACGGCCCGATCCGCCCGCCCCGGGCCCGCGCTGCGGAGCGGCGGCTGCGCCGGGCGGGACCGGCGAGGGGCGGGGCCGCCATCTTGAGGGGCGGCTGAGGGGCGGCGCCGCTGAGGGGAGGGGCCGCCATGTTGGCGGGAGGCGGCGGGGCCGCGGCGGTGCCGCGGAGGGGCGGCGGTGGGGCCGCCGGGGCCGGGGGAGGCCGAGGGGCTGCCTCGCTGAGGGGACGCGGCGGCGGCGGTGGGGCGGCGGCGCCTCTGAGGGGCGGCCGAGGGGCCGCGGCGCCGAGGGGAGGCGGAAGGGTCGCCATGACGCGGGGCGGTGCCGCCATGACGCGGGGAGGCGGCTGAGGGGCGTCCCCGTCCCGTGGAGCCCTCGGGTTGGGGGTAGGGATGGGGAGGGGAGTGAGCCCTTTGCGGTGGGTCAGCGTTCATGACCTGCTGGAGCCGCTCGGCGGAGCGGGGTGGGATGGAGCGAGGCGCAGCGTTCGCGGCGTGTTCGGGTGCCCTCGGAGCCGCCGGTGAGCGGAGCCCCCGGCCCGTGCCCGCCGCGTGCGAGCGACGGCCCGGAGCGCCTGGGTGCAGTTACCGCCAGGGAAACGGAGAAAAGGGGCTCCTCAAGGGGCTCCCACTCGGCCCCGCTGGAAAACAAGCACCTTTGCTGGCTTTTTGGAGTGCTGAGGTCCTGGCAAAGGTGCCCCATCCCTGGAAGTGTCCAAGGCCAGGTTGGACGGGGCTTGGAGCAACCTGGGATAGTGGAAGGTTCACACTTCACACATTTTTTTCCTTCCAGGCTGTGCCCTGTGTGACAACAGGAAAGTGTTTGTACATATCCAAAAAAACCCTCACGAGCTCTATAATTAAATGCCACACAAGCAGCATACGCACATTGAAAGGTTCAGAGAGACAGAAGCTTAAAATAAAAGTTGTTATTTTACGTTTCTTGTGACTGTTGAAATGTAGAACGTTTCACTCCGGATACCACGGAGGGAATAAACCCCAGCATCATCACCTCAGATTTCAGCTCTGGGTTAGAGAATGCAGACGGTAACATTGTAGAACATTCATAAAAATACCTAAAAAGTTCATTTAAAAATACCTTTGTAAGGTATTATTTGTTTATAAGGCATTATTATTTATAAAGCATTATAAATATATTATAAAAGCTGTTGTCTACCATTACTGGAGAGCTCTGCTGGTGTCAGTGTTCACTTCGTTAAGTGGTTGTAATAATAATAATAATAATAGTATAAGAAAAAATATTAAAATATATCTCAATATGTATAATAAAAATAAAATCATTATTATAATAGTAGCTCAGTGTAAATAATCACCTGCAGTGATCATTTCAGCCGGTTCTGACACCGACCCCTCCCTTACCAGATCACCTCTTCTCACGCACTTTCCACGTTTCAGTACTAAGGCCGCATGAGAAAGACACAGTAGCAAAGAGTGTTAAATAGAAAATACTTCATTTCATTCTTCCGATTTTTTTTTCCACTGGGATTTTGCCTTTTCACCCGAGGAAACTCTGGCTGGCTCAGCTCGCTTTGCACTTCCAGCAAAAAGTCTTCCCGTCCCACTCCAGCCGGCCGTGCCCTTCGCATCCCTCTGACACCCGAGGGTCCCTGGGGACAGGCTGGGCTCTCCCGCGCTTCCCTGCGGACACCGGGATTTACCATTTCCCGGTGATTCCCGCTGGTTTTGCCGGGATTTGGTCGGCGCCCAGGCGGGACGCGCCGGAGCGCTTTGGGCGGCGCACCGGGAGGCGGCGGAACCTTGAGGGGGAGCACCCGGAAGTGGCGGGAGGTTCCGGTCGGGCATCTCCGTGATGGCGGCGCCGCTGCGCGTGTGGGTGAACGGGATGGGACGGGACGGGACGGGGCGGGACGGGGGTGGCCGCGGGGGAGGAGGCCGCTGAAGCTGACGCGCGGTGTCCCGCAGGCTGGCGTGTGGCGACGTGGAGGGGCGGTTGGAGACCATCTTCGGGCGGGTCCGCGCCATCCAGGCCAAAAGCGGCCGCTTCGACGTAAGGCCCGGGGGGCTGGCGAGACGCGGGGGGTCCCGGGGGGTCCCCATTCCCGGGGGGTTCCCGTTGCCTTGCCGGGATGGCGGGGCTGGGACAGTCGCAGCCGCAGTGTTGTGACAGTACAGCGAAGCGTTGTGTGCGTTCTGTCTGCGCTCCAACGGCAAAGGTTGCCTTTCCCGGTGTTTTCAGATGCTCTTGTGTGTCGGGAATTTCTTCGGCTCTTCTTCAGAGGCGGAATGGGCCGAGTACCGCACGGGGGCCAAGAAAGGTAAGGAGGGAGGGTGGTGCCCCTCGGGATGCTGGCACTGCTTCCCAGCCCGCTGTGGAGTGCAGGAGCAGCGGTTGGGGGGTGTCAGATCAGTCACACCTCAGCAGGGAGACCCCACCCAGCAGGGACAGAGGGGTTCGTTTGGAACCAAAACTCCTTTGTGTGGATTTCACTGCCTCTGTGCTCCGCTGTTCATCAGCATGGCCTAGGGAATGTCCCTGTTTTTAGGGCTGTGGATCATTTTGGAGCTAATCTTACATAGGCAGGGGAGGCAGTGGTAGTTAGAACAGAGGTTGTGCTCTGTCTGCAGCTGTGGGAACTCCAGGTCTGGGGACTTGTTCTGCAGGAAGGTTCCAGCATGGCCTAGGGAATGTCCCTGTTTTTAGGGCTGTGGATCATTTTGGAGCTAATCTTACATAGGCAGGGGAGGCAGTGGTAGTTAGAACAGAGGTTGTGCTCTGTCTGCAGCTGTGGGAACTCCAGGTCTGGGGACTTGTTCTGCAGGAAGGTTCCTTGTCCTGCACTCGGTGCTCCTTAGCATTGCAAGGGTGAGGTGGGGGGTCTGGCTGGACAGGCTTTCCTGCTGTGATTCCTGGGAAGTGTGGACTGGGCCTCTGCTGGGGCTCTGGAAGTAAAGCTGACTGACTGCAAGAGGTTTTCTCCCTCAGCTCCAATCCCAACCTATGTGCTGGGTGCCAACAACCAGGACACCTTGAGCTATTTTCCGGACGTCAGTGGCTGTGAGCTGGCTGAGAACATCACTTACCTGGGTAAGGCTGCAGGGGCTTTGGGATCAGGGAGCTGCATTTGCCTCCTGGGGCTTTCACAAGTGTTTTCTGATCTTCCCATTCAATATCTTCATTTTTCTGGAAGTTTCAAGGTGGCATTTTTTTTCCGTGGTTCAGACTGGAGTTGAACTCAATACAATCTGTGTAAAATGTGAAAGAAAACCTTGCTTATTTTGGGGTTTTTTTTTGTTCCTCTAACACTGCACTTGCCAACCAAAAGGAACAGTGGCTAAAAGAGCCTGTTCTTTGAGGGCATCTTCTTCCCTCTCTCTGTGTGGGGAAGGTTTTGTCCTTCAGTATGATTTTGCTGTGTTACCTCTGCTACTGCAGTACAGCCACAAGTGTCAACTGAAGGTAATGAAACTGTACCAAAGCTAAAAGGAAAAACCACTGACCAACAATCTAACAAGCAGTTGGACCTGCATTGGCTTTTTTCACTCAGCCTTCATATCAAGCTTTTGGGTGGATTTTTGGGGAAGCCAGATAAGAGGGAGCAGAGAGAAGACAGAGGGTTGTCTGAACAGATGTTTCAGGGAGCGGAGAGAAGATGGGGATTGTCTGAGCAGCTGTTTCAGGGAGTAAAGAACATGGAGGTCGTCTGAGCAGCTCTGTTGTCGTCAGGGTTGGGTTTGAGCTAAACAGTGACTTCACTCTGGGCAGAGAAGATGAGCTGCCTGTGAGGGCAGTGTCAGTGTGTCAGGAATGCTGGCCCTGTGCCCCTGGCTCAGTGGGTGCTGTGCCCCTGGCTCAGTGGGTGCCCGTGTCCCTGGCTCAGTGGGTGCCGTGTCCCTGGCTCAGTGGGTGCCGTGCCCCTGGCTCAGCGGGTGCCCGTTCCCCTGGCTCAGTGGGTGCTGTGTCCCTGGCTCAGTGGGTGCTGT